CACCTGAATGCATCATGACCTAAACTCACCTGAATGCATCATGACCTGAACTTGCCTGAACGCATCGTGAACTTATTTTTAAAAGCAGACTATCCGTTTGTCCTGTGGCGTTTGTGAGTTTTATTTGTGTAGAGAGGGTTGTGCTGCCGTTTCCTTGTGTTTTTGTACATACTGGTGTTGGTTAATGTAATTACTGTTTACTGTGTCAGGGTCACATTTGAAGCTGACAGCTGATGTGAGGCTGACACATCCAGTACCAAATGATCCTTTAGTGTTTGAAGCACAACATTTTCTCTTTTTGATGATATAAATAAAGTTTTCTTGATGTCAAACATCTGGTTTGTTGCCTCTGCTTCTTTCTGAAGAGGAGTCTGATCAGTTCATGCAAAATTTACTGAACTGATGTTTGTTGTACAAACTGCTGTGTAGACGTGAAGTGAATAAGGGATTATTTAACGGGTAGAATCAGTATGAAATAAAAAGTCAATAAATCAGAGAAGGCAACAGAAATGGCTTCAGCCACTAACCGTCTCCATATGGTTGTAATAAATTCATCTTTTTGCAGTTGACAGGATTAATTTTTTTAATTGTGCATGAGGTTCAAACAGGACTCCCTGATGATTTGTGAGTGGACCGGCCTTCTTGCATTCAGTGGAAAATGCTGCACTGACAGCTTCTGTGATTGGAGAGGGGGGGGGGGGGGGTATTCAATTACAGTGAACCCAACGATTGGTTCTTCTCCCACCCCCTCCTCTACAGCCATCAGATCTGGCACCCAGACCTCTAGCTGTGTGGGATCAACAGACGGCAATTTGAATTTGAGCCCCCCCTCCCCAGTAAAAGGGACTGGTGTCCTGTTCACTGCTCTGCTGCCAATATTCCACACCCAATAATTTCACTGAGGCTTCTGACTGTAGCATGGGGAATATTCTGTTTTTCACTCACCTGTGATCCAGTATCCCACAGAGCCTTGGTTCCCAGTTCCCACCCCATCCAGCAGGCAGGTAATGGTGCACCTCTTGAGGAGGTTGACCCCAAACATCTCATTCACCTGAGGTGCTGCATGTTTAACGTCAGGGTGCAGCTTGTGACCTTCTCCAGTTAGCTCCTTTTCATTCTTGTCCACTCGTCTTGCTGGTACTGATGATGTTTTAAATGTGCACGAGATGGATGTCCACTTTGTCCACATTTGAAGCAGTGGTCACACACGTCTCCTCTATTGTCCCACAGTTTTTACAGCCGCGCTTTCTGCTTGGTCTTGACTTGTAAACGCACACAAGAGTCATTAACCAGTTTCCTGATGTCTTGCGTTTCACTTTTAAGTCTGACGGCGTCCAGGAGCTCAGTTTCTGTGTGAGAGGCAGACGATTGGATTTTCATGGTTTTAGTTTCCATCCCAGTGAAAGATGGTGGTTCTTGTTCCCAGATTGCTCCAACGTTTGTCTTTGGGGCTGGTCGTGCTTCTGCTCTTACTTCCCTCACACTCAAGTCTTCACTGCTTCTCCTGAACTTCTGTTGCCTCTCTCATTCCACGCTGGCTGCCTCATTTGTCTTTGCTATTAACACATCATCTGTAACTTTCAGATCATCAAGGAAGTTCCTGAGCTGGTGTCTCACATCATCATTAATGAGCCCTGTTCCCACGGCTCGCAGGAACTTTTTCTGAATCAGTTCTGGACCATAGTCTTCTTCTGAGCCAGGTTCTCTGGATGCGGCCAGTAAACTTTTTTTTTTTAACTCTATTGCCCTAATTAAGAAGTTCTGTGGAGAACTGTGTAATATTTATTAGGCGATGGTACAGGTCAGTGGAGCTCCTTGTAATGGTCCTTAATATCGTTCTCAACTGTGCAGGAGGTCTGTTTTGATCTCCAGCGTTTCACGAAGGGCTAAACCTGGACTGACCGCTCTGACCACAGCCTCTACGATCTCATTCTGGATTTTGATAGCTATCAGACTTTTATGGATGCTTGCCTGATTTTTTAAGTTTTAAATGGACTTGCTCCTCCTCCTTTAATGCATTTTATAAGTAAAAAAACAAGTACAGTAAACACACGAGCACTGACCAGAGGAGATTGTGATGTAGTGACGCAGGACTAAATTTGGTGGAGCACGCTGCCAGTTTCCATCAGGAACTGTGGCACCTACTCCAGCTTTAAAAACTCTTTGAAACTTTGGCTGAAACTAACCAGAGGTGCACTCATGTGTAGATTACTTTGTCTTTTTTCTTATGGCATCGTATCTTTATTGTAATTTCATGTTGTGTTACGTGTTATATACAGTAGGTGATGTTTGTTTTATTCTCTGCTCTTTGTTTTGTGGGATGTCTCTTGTTCTTACCTGCTGTGTGGCATGGAGGCTGCACAGCTGCAGAAAGGAAAGCTTTGCAGAGAGTGGTGAAGGCTGCACAGAAATCTGTTGGAATCAGTCTCCCCACCATCACAGACATCTACACCTCCAGATGCAGGAAGAGGGCCACCTGCATCATGAAGGACCCCACCCACCCAGCACACACACTTTTTGCCCCACTCCCCTCAGGAAGGAGGTTAAGGAGCATTAAGTGTAGAACCACTAGACTGAGGAACAGCTTCTACCCTGAGGCTGTTAGACTCATGAATCTCTAACTAGAATAATCACTGTGAAAAACCATATCATGTTGCTGCTGATCTGTTTCATGTTGCTGCTGATCTGTTTCAATGTTGATGTGTTCATGCGTGCACATCTGCTCACAGACTCATGTTCATGTTTGTGCTGATGTTCAATGTTTTATGTTATGAGTGCTTAGTGTATATTTAGTTGATGTTTTCCTTAGTTCATATCTTAGATGTTATTACTGTTTTTCTTAGACATTTTATTGTTGGATGTAACTGGGACCCTGTGTACATAATTTCGCTCCACCACATGTACCACATGAGGTGCGAATGACAATAAAGAAACTCTGACTCTGACTCTGACTTTAGGACAACGGATGAAAATTAGCTGCTGTGCTAACTCCGGCATATTTACATTGATGCTTACTGCTGACATGTTGATTGATACGCATTGTCCTAATTTAAATAAATAAATAAAATAAATAAGTGCTGCCTTCTACTAGAGCAGACCCCAACGAAACAACGATTCACACCGAGGGACAACATATATCCTGCATGTCTGATTCTCCTCCCTACAAGATCAAAAATTAAGTCCAGATGCAGGAAAATGAACAATTTTATGAAATGAGTCAGAGATGCTCCTGTCAGGTGAGCTGGACCAGAAACCAGAACATTGAATGAAAACAGGTACAGAGACTTGATGGAGTTTATAAAGATGCATGTTACATACGTGACTTTGTTTGAAACACACACATGTTTTTTGGGTAAAATATAGTTTTGATTTCTCAAATGTTAGCTAGAACTTTCTACTCCACAAAATAAAAATCTGCAATAACACTTTGAAACCAATATTAAATTGGAACAATGATAGCTTTAATTTATTGGTTTTAGATTTGTAATAAAATAATCATCAAAAGAATTTAGATCAAACAAAATTCATTTATTCATTTTACACTCCAGAGAAACTGAGCACAGAGCCAGTGAATCAAATGAATGGATCTGGTTCTGATGAGTCCAACAGTGTCTTACTTCCTGTCCAAGTTGAAAAGCTCTCGGCTCTCGATGAGGATGAACTCCATAATCTGGTTCTGGTACGCCATGTTGACCGCCATGTTTCCTGCATCTTGTTCAGGCCACATCAGGGTTGGGCCAAACACAATACTGATACCTTGAGAGGACATCAGGTTCTTCTGGGAACAAGCCAGAACTCTAAAAACAACAAGAGCAACATAAAGTCTGAGATATGTGTAATGATAACGAGGTGAGGTTCAGGTCTGGGACACTGGATCAAAGATGGAGTAGGACCAGTAGTGAGTCACCAGGTCTGGGTTAGCAGTGGGACAGGTTGTTGTAATGTGTGGTCCAAGTGTACTTCAGGTGTACCTTTGCAGATGACTGAAAAGCAGCTTCATGGTGTCATGGTTGGGTTTGGGCAGTTGTTGGATCAGTTTCTTCAATGCTTGAATCTTCTGTTTGGATTCTTTGATTTCTGTCCAGAAAGAAAATAACAAGAGTTGATTTACTGTTAATGATATTGTTTGAAAACATTTGTGTCTTCAAAGTTTTTCTATTCATCTATCCATCCATCCAGCTGAACCCAGGTCTCATGGCAGCAGCTTGAGCAGGGCGGTCCAGTCATCTCTTCCAGCTCTTCTGGGAGGACTCCAAGGTGTTCCCAGGTCAACCGAGAGACGTAGTCTCTCCAGCGTGTCCTGGGTCTTCCCTGGCGTCTCCTCCCAGTCAGACATGCTCAAACCACCTCAACTGGCTCTTCTCAATGTGGATGAGCAGCGGTTCTACTCCGAGTCTCTCCTGATAACTGAACTTCTCACCCTGTCTCTAAGGGAGAGTCCAGCTCCCCTGCAGAGGAAACTCATTTCAACCTCCTGTATCTACAATCTCATTCTTTCAGTCTCTACCCAGAGCTCATGACCAGAGGTGAGGGTAGGAACGTAGACTGACCAGTAAACAGAGAGCTTTGCTTTACAGCTCCCTCTTCACCACAACGGACCGGCACAGAGTCTGCAATACTGCATATGCTGCACCAATCTCATGCTCCATTCTTCCCTCACTCATGAACAAAACCCTGAGATACTTGAACTCCTTGATACCTAGACAGTTATTTGTGATTACCAGGTCTGTCGAGTAGCCTTCTTTCCTACCGAGTGATGATTAGCTGACAGGTCTGTCCCACTGCACTGGACCTTGACTCCTCTCCCCACAGGTGGTGGACCCATGAGAAGGTAGCTTCTTGTAGCTTTTTACTGTAGCTCAGATTTGGCCTGGCAGAGCCACAAAACCAATGCTCAACCACCAGTTTCTAACTACTAAGCTCCGCTTCAGGCCAGGCTTCAAGAAGGTGCCCTGTGTTCCTGATTCTGAACACGATGTCTTTTTTCCTGCGGTCCTCGTCCATTGGAGGGTTCTGTTTGTTTTTGTGTGGTTAAAACTTGACATGTAAGTGTTAACTGATCTCGTTTTGACAAGGACTCAATATAAAACATTAAAATATTTAATGAGGTTTTACTCACTGATAACATCTACGAACTGCTGGAAGAACCGGAAGGGGAAAAGTGGCTCTGGCAGCTCACGGAAAAACAACTTTAGAGCTCCGGTGATGACGTGAATGTCCTCCCACTGACTGCTGTCTAGGTCCAGATCTTCCTCTGACAGAAAGGAAACAGAGAAGACATGAGAATAATTTAAATTAGATCTCACAAAACGATGTTGGATTACGACACATGTCAATTTTGAATGATAGTGTTGTGTATAAATTATGTGGTTCTTAGCCTTTCAAAGCACTTCATCACGATGTGTGTGTGAGTGCTACAAGACGATAATGACTGTGGCATGTTGCTGACTTTTCTGTAACTGGGATGATAGCTGAGGTTTCAAAACATGATGGTTTGGCAGTCTGTCCCAACTAGGTGTCAAATGTGTCGATGAAAACCCCCCAGACAGTTGATCTGCACAGTCTCTTAACACCCAAACCCTGATGTTGTTATAGCCAGCTGCTTTCTGCACATTCACTTTTTCAGGGATCTCTTGACATCAGCAGTGTCCAAATGGAGTACTTGCTCATTAGGACAGGAGGTGCTTTTTCCCACCGAGTTGTATAAGTTTGATTAGTTAGGAAAGAATGAACCGTTCTTTCAGGATGGAGGAGCAGCTTTTCATTCAGGGATGGTCTGATACCCTGCCTCGCATTCTCAGGGTCCTGGAAGAAGTTCCAAGTTTTATGATAATGAATGCACTTAACAAGCCTTATGGCACAATTCATATTTTCTCTAGCAGTTCTAAGCAACAACATCCATCCATCCATCCATCCATCCATCCATCCATCCATCATCTTCCTCTTGTTCTGAAGTCAGGTCGCTGAGGCAGCATCTTGAGCAGGGAGGTCCAGACATCTCTCTTCACAGCCTCCTCTTCCAGCTCTTCTAGGAAGATTCCCATGAGTTCCCAGGCCAACTGAGAGACATAGTCTTTCCAGCGTGTCCTGTGTCTTCCCCGGGGTCTCCTCCCAGTTGGACATGCCTAAAGAACCTCCCTAGGGAGGTGCCCAGGAAGCATCCTTACAAGATGCTTGAACCACCTCAACTGGTTCCTCTCGATGTGGAGGAGCAGTGGTTCTACTCTGAGTTTCTCCTGATAACTGAACTTCTCACCCTATCTCTAAAGGAGAGTCCATGTACCCCACAGAGGAAACTCATTTCAACCGCCTTGAGCCACGATCTCATTCTTTCGGTCACTCGTGGTCATAGGTGAGGGTAGGAACGTAGGACAACCGGTAAACAGAGAGCTTTACCTTACAGCTCAGTTCCCTCTTCACCACAATGGACCAGCACAGAGTCCATATAACTGCAGACGCTGTACCAATCTGTCTGTCAATCTCACGCTCCATTCTTCCCTCACTTTGAACAAAACTCCAAGATACTTGAACTCCTCCACTTGAGGCAGAACCTCACCCTTGACCCGAAGAGAGCAATCCACCCTTTTCCAATTGAGGACCATGACCTCAGATTTGGAGGTGCTGACTCTCATCCCAGCTGCTTCACACTCAGCTGCATATCAGAGCTGGAGATCATGGCACAATGACACCAAAAGGACCACACCATCTGCAAAAAGCAGAGCTGAAATCCTGAGGTCACTGAACTGGACTCCCTCCACCCACTGGCTGCACCAAGAATTTCTGTCCATAAAAGTTATGAACAGAATCGGTGACAACGGGCAGAGTCCAACTCCCACCCTGAAAGGGTCCGACACTACGGGCAATGGGAACCAAACTCTTGCACCACTTGTATAGGGACTGAACATACCTTATTTAAAGGCATTGTTTTGTGACTTTGGCAGTGCATGTAGCACATCTGTCATTTGCTATGCGGTGATGTATTTGATGACACTGACACCATCCCTACATTTCTGTATGGAAACAAACACAGTCTCAGAATATTCTTCCATCTGTGAGTGTCGATTTACAGTTGCAGCTTCCCTGTACGTATTCCGCTTCGTGTTTTCAAAACAGCTCCGTCACGCCTGCATAGCTCTTTTAGCTAGAGGTTCACCAACTTTATGGTCAGCAGAGGTTTGTAGATGGGAAGAAGCATCACTGATAGGTGGTCTGTGGAGCCACGATGGGGGTGGGGTACCGCTGAAGGCCTTCTTGATGTTTGTTTAGGCCACATCCAACGTGTTTGTTCCTCTAGTTACAATATCCACACGCTTTTGAAAACGAGGGAGGACGTAATGGAGTGGAAATGGACACTCAGGACTGTTTTTGACATTTGCACTGGAGGAATGATGACGACAAGGAATTTCTTAGGGAGATAAAATGATCCACACTTTCTTATTATTCAGTGTCTGTGGAGGAATGACTTGTGACGAGTTGTTACACCAGTTATTGTTAGTGTCTTACACACACACCTCCACCTTGGGTTTTACTGGTTCGAGCCTGGCTCCTGTCCAGTCTGAACATTCATTATCAGGAGCAAGGACTCTTCAAACTTTGTCATTCTTTTCTTCACAGCACTGCGGTGCAGCTTTTATTGTTCATAAAGTACTATCTAAGTACAATTACCATTTCACTTCTTTTATATTGTCTCATCGTCCTTTCTCAGTCGTTACTTTAATGTGCTTTGTGTTGTGTCATTTTAGTGTGTGGTAGTTTCATCAGTTCAGTTACTGAGTAGTTATAATCTGTTTTATAATTTGTTTAAAAAAAGAGTTGATGTGATTTGATAGTTGTAAGAATAAACTTCAAAAATTACTACGAAGCAGCACTAGCTAACAATGTTTCAGAAAATGGTTTTGTTGCGAATACAGAAACAGATAAATATTATTGATGATTGACTATTCCAACATGTGGAGTTAGTTTAAATATCAGCTGTTTGCAAAGAAATCACAGCTGGATTTTTTACTGAGAAGGCTCATTGTAGAAATTAAAAATAACTCGCAGAAATAATAACATAAATCTCATTTAAATACTTTTTTGCGTACATATAGAATATTTTGTAGGTATTATTTTGATTGATTAAGTAAAAATCAATTGTGCTTTAAAGAGACCTTGATCAACAATGAAGCGAAGTTTCTGGATTGTGGCCAGATTTCCACTGACCCTGTAGATCCCGTCTGCCTCCAAACCTGAAAATCAAAAAAATACTTCATGAAATAAAGTTCAACTGAAGTCAGAAGCCATTTGGGGCTCATTGAATCATGTGGACACGGTGAAAACTGTCTGTGATGTTTGCATCTTCATTAAGTTCTGTTTTCACTGAGAAACCAGAAATTCAGCTTCGAGTGAACGGACCTCGTTTCTCCACAGCATCCAAACAAATCTTTACAAACTTTGGAACTGAGGTTCCTTCACGTTCACACAGGGTCAGCAGGTGGCAGCCAAACACTCGATCTGAAACAGAAACAACATTATAAATAAAATGTCTACATGTGACGTAAAATTGTAATTTTTGAGTTACAACACTTGGACTTGTGGAAAACAGTTACAGTGGGGAACCCCCAGGGCCTTTAATGCCTTCAGAGAAGACCTAAGAATTCAGCACATACGAAATTTTATTTATTTTTTTCTTCTTCTTCTTTCGGCTGCTCCCCATTTCAGGGGTCACCACAGCGAACTGTCACATGAAGACTTGGCAGAAACGCCGGACGCCCTTCCTGACGCAACCACAGACACCGAGCTACCGCAGCCCTCTGTGTGGAGCAGAGAGCTGCCTTCTAGGGCACCCAGAGGAGCAGATGGTGGGGTTAAGGGCCTTGCTCAAGGGCTCAGGGTGGAGCAAAGGAGGGTGGAGACAAGTGTTGGTGCTTCAACTTTTCCACCCACATTTTGCTGTTGTCAGTCTGGGGAGTTGAACCAGCGACCTTCCAATCACAGGCTCACCTTCTCTAACCTCTGCGCCACCACTCCCCTCCTATATCCTACATATGAAATATTGCATTTAAATCGTTAATTTGATATCCATTTTATTATCAAAGAAATACTTTCAATGTAGTTTTTCTTAATTAACAGAAGGCTCTCTCATTGGTTAGGACTTCACCGTCAGGAGAGAAGGCTGAGCTCAGCCGGAGGCTCTGCAGGACGAGTTTGTTTAATAGCTGGCAGGAAAATTAAACCATGTTGATGTAAAGTGGGCGGGACCAAAACAAGGAACTTTGAGCCTTCGGGAAGGCCTTGCAAGGCCTTTTTTGTTTTTACCACATGAAGATTTTCATTGTTATGCTGATGATACACAGTTATATTTGTCCATGAAACCCGATTAATCCAGTCAGCTACTTAGACTACAAGCATGTCTTAAAGACATAAAAACTTGGATGACCCTAAATTTTTTGCTTTTAAACTCAAGAGAGAGAGGCTGCTTTTGGACCTGAGCATTTTAGGAATAAATTTCGCAGCTTTTCACTTCATCTGGATGGCATTAATCTGGCCTCCAGTTCTAATAAAAAAAAAAAACCTTGGTGTTATTTTTGATCAGGACATGTCTTTTATCCCCCACATTAAAAAAAGTTACTAGAACCACTTTCTTCCACCTGCGTAATATCACTAACATTAGAAACATCTGATCTAAAGATGATGCAGAAAAACTGGTCCATGCATTTGTCACGTCTAGACTGGACTATTGCAATGGTTTATTATCTGGGTGTCCAAATACTTCTTTAAAACGTCTTCAGTTGATCCAAAATGCTGCTGCCAGAGTCTTAACTGGAGTTACTGGGAGAGATCATATCTCTCCAGTTTCAGCTTCTCTCCATTGGCTCCCTGTCAAATCCAGAATTGAATTCAAAATCTTACTTCTAACCTACAAAGCTCTCAACAACCTAGCTCCATCTTATATTACAGATCTTATTGTTCCATATTGTCCTTGGAGAGCTTCGCTTTCAAACTGCAGGTTTACTTGTGGTTCCTAGAGTTTCCAAAAGCAGAATCAGTTATCAGGCTCCTCTCTTGTGGAACCAACTTCATTGAGGTTGACACTTTACTACTTTTAAGATTAGGCTTAAGTTTTTCCTTTTTGATAAATTGGCTTGGGTTTCCTGAGCTATCCCTTAGTTATGCTGCTTTAGGCTCAGACTGTTGGAGGACAAACTGACCACATTTCCTCCCTCTTTGCTCTGTCTTTACTTGCTCTACTCTACCTGTTTGTAATTATTTCTATCTTAGCATGTTTTTTTGTATTTCCTCCTATAGAAACCACGCCTGGACCTGTCGTTCTGTGTTTCTTTCTACTTCCTGTCCTCTCAAACCCAGCCAATCAAAGCAGATGGCCGCTCGTCCTGAGCCTGGTTCTGTTGGAGGTTTCTTCCTGTTAAAAGGGAGTTTTTTCTTCCCACTGTCTCCTTTGTGCTCGCTCAGGATGGGAGACTGTGACAAAGTGAAGATTCAACACAATCTGCTGCTTCCTTGAACTTGTAACTTTTTTAATGTATGTGAAAGTTTCTGTTCAGTGCTCCGAGATAACTTCTGTTGTGACTTGGAGCTATAGAAATAAACTGAATTGAATTGACGCCAGAATTCATTTTATTGTAACATTTAACTTCTATATCTTCTGTTTGTTTGACTCCTTCTTTAAAAACTTTGAACTTTATTAGATAAGTTGTTTGTCTTAAACCTCTTTGACTCGACAGGATTGTGCTCGTCCAAATTTTATTAAAACATTTAGAGTTTAAACTGTGGTGTTAATCTGAAAACCTTTAATTTTTTTTTACTTAAATGAAGAAAAAGGTCATAAAACATTTTACTGACAGAGGAGGTGAATGTCTCAAACCAGTTGAGTATGAGAAACATGTGATTTACAGTTGGAATTACATTAAAGGATCTTTGTATCATAAACAGATATTTTAAGATAGAAAAAGCAAATAAAACCTTTAATGAGTCCTTTCTCTTGTAACGTCTTCATCGATGGCCGTCTGGTGATGAACTTCTTCAGTCTGTTCTTTACTCCGTTCTTGTCTGCGCTGTCTGAAGCGCTGTACTTCAGCTTTGAGCTGCTGAACATGTCTGTAAAAATAATTTAGTCTTATTAAACCATCACGTGTTTCCAAACAGCTGCCAATACCCAGCTGCTGTGGACCAACTCAAACTCCTATTATTATCACTTTGACCTAAAAATGGATGCTGTTGGTTTTTCAACTGGAAGGTTACTGGTTGGACTCTGATTTTCATGGTTTACATATTACAATGGTAATAATGGTATCCAAAGTTCAGCATTAATTAGGTTTACTTTGGAGACTTCTCATGTGACATACTGAGCTAGTTTATTGGCTGTGGAAAATTCCCATATAGAATAAAAAAACAGTTCTTTTTGGAAATAAACAATAGTCATACACTTGCTTTGTTTATTTAAAGTTGTCTTCGTGAATATAACTATTTTTACCTATTGTCAAGTTTCAGTTTGCTGCAAGATCCTTCCATGAATCCCTGACTCAAAAGTTAGTGATGTTTCTCCAGGAATATAACATTTTTTTGTGTTTTTGTTCCATCCATTATCTTCTGCTTGTTCCGAAGTCGGGTCGCGGGTTCCCTGAGTGATATCCAGTATTATCCAGAAAAGCAGCAAATTTGGGTACCGCTTTACAATAAGGCTCCCCTTATAGATGCTAATAAATAGTTTATAGATACGTTATGAATTTCTCTATAAACACAGCATAAATCGTTAATACCTGCCTATTATGTATTAATTAAGAGGGAGAAAGAGACAAAACTGACCAGTTTCTTGCCAAATATTGATGTTTCATCTAGAGTTGTTATATTAAACATTTCAGACTAAGTTACTACCTTGTAAGCACAATAAGCATCTGTAAACCTATATTTTGAGTATATCAGAATCAGAATAAACTTTATTGTCATTGCATCGAGATACAATGAGAACATGTCCGAAAGATAGACGTAGTGCACAAAGCTGCTGCTAATTTGCGCAGCCCTCTTATTCTTATTCAGAGTAATATTTTGCATAGATGAGAAAAGGAAAGAAAACATGAGGAGAGACGGTATAAAAAAAGATCTCTCACACCGTGTCCTAGACAGGGCACGATTTGAGGCATCAAAAAAACCTACCACAGCAAAGCAACATAAATAGACGTTATACATATAGGCGGTGAAGACATTGAATTTTTAAGGGAAGGTCGTAGCATAGTCCAAAGCGCCCCCCCCCCCCCCCCCCCCCCCCAGCCATTGTCCAGATAAGAGGTGACGTTCATCATCAGCTCAGTTGAGGTTCTGTCACATGTCCACGGACTTGGGGAAGGGAGGGGTGAGGAGACAGTCAAAGTATCTTTGTTTTTCTTAAACTTGCCAGGAGGAGTTGAGATAAATCCGCCGTCAAGGCCACAGTTTGGGTCAGGCAGAGCTTGTGAATTGCTGTTTCTGCCTTTTAAAGTCTCGCTAGTACATTTCTCTGATGGTGACTCCAAACAGCCGAATTGAGTCCTTACGTCGAAAGTCGAGCTCACAGCTTTCTCCAAGATCATTCCCAACCATTCATGGGTGCTGCCAGAAAGTTCACAGTCCTGATAACAGCCTGCTCCAGCTCTGATGCAGCTCCACATAATTCAGTCTGAGTGCTGCCAAGCTTCAATACATCCACACGAATTTGTAGACAATCCAGATTTCACCAACCCAAACAGCAAAATAACCAATTGTCATCATAAATCCGATTTGTTTCCGTCGAGGTAAGAGGGTCCTCCTTAACCTGACTCCTGTCGGGAGAAGTTGATCAATTTTGTTGAGAGACCAGCTGATCAAATCCTTCGAATTAGGAAGGTACGCAGGAAAATAAAGAGGCTCTTTAAGGGTTCACAAGGTGAAAGAGAGCAAAGCAGGGAAGCGCGGGGGGGGGGGGGGGGGGGGAGACGGAGCAGAAGAGGGCACATCTGTCTTCACCGGAGCACAGAGAGCGAGAGAGAAAAACACACACACACAAAATAATAATAATATAATAATAATAATAATTAAAAATAATTTTGTACTTTATCACTGATTATAAGTATCTATAGTTGTAGATACTTATAATGCAGTGATAAAATACAATACTATATGCTAAAAAAATAGTCTGAAATGTTTAATATAACAACTCCAGATGAAATATCATTATTTGGCAAGAAAATGGTCAGTTTTGTCTCTTTCTTGCCCTTAATTAATGCATAATAAGCAGGTATTAATGATTTATACAGTGTTCATAGAGGAATTCATAACATATCTATAAACCGTTTATTAGCATCTATAAGGGGAACCATATTGTAAAGTGGTACCCAAGTTTCCTCAGCTCAAGTGTCTGTTGTTTATTTTGCCAATCGTTTAACTTGTAATTTTTATTTTTATTTTTTGTCTGTTGTGTTTGGTATGTATGATATATCTTCAACTTTCTGTGGATTTGCGTTCCCTAGTGTGTCTCCCACTTGTGGTCTACTTCAGCTCCTGCCACTCCCACCTCTTCCTGGTTGTCCTTCCCAGGTGTTTCTCATCATCTGGACATTGTCCTGTATGGCGTTATGTTCTGTGCTCCCTCCGTGTTTCCTATTTAAGTTTTGCTGCCACGTCAGTCTTCTGCTTTTCTTTTGTTACCTTTGTGGGCAAACCAACTAACCAGTACACATGATTTTATATTACTGACTTAATTTGAAAATGGTTTGTTTTTGTTCTCAATGCTCCCAAGCAAGTTCACTAGTCTGCACAATTCCATTTTTTTTTGTTTGCACAATAAACTGAATGTTCCAAGTAATTACAGAAAAAAAAAAAAGTATACATTTAAACAGGACTCTTCTATATCTCTACAGAGATAATCTCAATCTGTAGAGACTAATCAGAGCTTTAGATTACATTCATACACTGATCAGAGGCAATGAGGTGTTTAGTGTCTTGTCCAGGGACACTTCAACATGTGACTGCTGGTGGAATTGAACCCCCAACTCCCCCATTGGAGGATGACTGCTCTAACCACTCAGTCACAGCTTCCCCAAATTAGAGGCCTTGTCAATGAAACATTACTTAGTTGATGTTAAAAGATAATAATATCCAAACTATTCCACATTTACCAAACAGTACAGTCTGTTATAGGTTCTTGAACTCGGCGCCCCTTCGACCAAAGCCCATTTACCTTCTGAGTTAATACTGTCGCTCTATAGACCATGTGCTACACAAACTAAAAGCAATGTTCTGTTTCCACATATACAACCCAGAGTTGTGTATGTGTGTGAGATGTGTTTTAGACTGGCTGTAAAAACTGTAAAATGCCTTGGCTTCTACATACTGATGGAGCGTCGATGGACCGGGTTTCGTTGTTTCGTGTTGGGGGAGGCTGATCCATATCCTGGTAGGGAGCTGTGTCTGGGCAGGTACTCTGTGCTGTTAGACCTCCGCAAAGCAAAACTTCTGTCTTCTTTGGTCTAAACAACAACAACAACAAAATGGCTGTGTTTTCTACTTTGCACTCTGTCCTCCCAAAATAAGTGGAATCAGCAGATTGTTGGTGTTTTGTGTATGTTCTTACAGATGAGTCAACATTTTTTCGGATGGCATCATACCATTTGCTGGCTGTGGAGTAACTGTCAGACTGGATAAGGTACTCACTTCCTGTGCTTGTTGTGATCTAGGACAGATGGAAAGATAATGAATGATCTAAATATGTTTCAGTTTTCAGACTGAACGGTGCATTCAGTGTTACCTGGAAGACATTTTTCTTGCTTGACTTTTCGGTAGTCCACTCAATAACAGCTCCACACAGCTGGACCACATCTGTTTTCCCTCCTGCTTTCTGATTGCAGGGAAGGTGAAGACAAGGTCAGGGATTATATGTCTTAAATGTCCTGCTTCCAGAAGAACACAATGTTAACAATGTAAAACTAAACATATCAACACTGTGCACATCCATTCGAGTACATGCTTCTTAAGTCTCCCTGGAACGTCCAGAATATATAATTTAAATTTGTTTTTAACATACAAGGCTCCAAACCAAAATCCAGCTAACATGAAAGAGCATTTTGTTCCATATTTTCCAAACAGAGCACTTTGCTGTCATGTTTCAGGTTTACTTATGGTTCCTAGAGTTTCCAAAAGTAGAATGGGAGGCAGTTCTAAAGTTCATCTAAAGTTGAACCAATTTCCAGTTTCTGTCTGTGAGTGACTGTCTACTTTTAAGACTAGACTGAAGACTTCCCTGTGTGATAAATCCTATAGTTGGGTTTGTTTTTGGTTTCCTGAGCTATCCCTTAGTTCTGCTTTTATACTCTTTTACTGTAGGGCATCCCATGTAGATACCACCTCTCTTTACCTGTGATGTCTGACATTTAGGCTTTTATGTGACATCAATGCACATCACAGTTTTAGACTATATTGAAATCATTGGGATTGAATTGAACTCTATCTAACATGATTTTCATTCAACCTTTATTTAGACAGATAAGTCACATTGAGCCTAGAAGACTCATTTACAAGTGAGATCTGTTTGGACAGACAAAAAGTAGTGAAACTGAACACATGTAGAAATTTGGAGGCAAAAAAATTCCCATCAGACTTTTTCTTACTGCCTGAGAAGAAAAACTGATATCAAAACACACCTCGCACAAACAAGCACATAGTGACATAGCCATTCTGCAGAGTGGGGGAGACAACGAGATCGGTGAGCATGTTCATAGATGCTCTCGAGGTCACTGTAAGAGTTCTGATAAGGATGTAATAATCAGCCAGTGTCCTCCGGTGAGATCCGTAAACATTCTCAATGTATGTTGGGGAATGGCCAAAGATAACGTCTACGAGAATCCAAGAGTTCTGAAATTATGACACAATGTTTATTCAGCTGGTTTCTTCTGGTTATCAGTTGGAAATTCCTCAGGGAGGGGGTGGTGAGCGTCAGATCACATGTTCTCCAGGCGAATTCAGATAAGATGGCCTTCAAGGCCAGCCAAGGGAGCCAAATTCAGATAAATATACAGATGTTTTGGGGACATGCAGAACTTAATGACATCTACCTTGAGTCTGTGTTGGTCCACTCGGTTCCGAAATGTCCAAATTACATGGCTACACCAAAGGAACGTGACCGAGTAAAATCCCTGAGATCTGATCCATTCTGCCCAAAGCATTTGAGTCTGGGTACTCGAGGCACGAACCAAGCCATCATAAAGGCAAGCAGCGTGACTGGGTCCAAATTTGCTGCCGACGACTTCTTTGTTTGCAGATAAAACCAGCAACCAGACGAATCCAAAAAGCAGGAACCAGTTATCATAAATCCAATTAAATATTTGTCCTTAAAATCCCCAAATGGCAGCAGAGACAGAAACATCATGAAGTCTTCCAAGTCGATGAGATAACCAGCTGTGTGTGTGCCAACAGGGCAAATCGTCTCACCTAAAGCCTGTCTTCTCTTCGAAGAAATGTTATAAATTGTGTTGAGGGACCAACTGATCAAAACAAATCCATAATTATGGTTCGGAAGATATGTAAGAGAGGCTCAGATGCATTTTCACAGACAGACAGAGCAGCAAAGCAAAGCGGAGAGGGAGGTGAAGGGAAAAGTGTCCGATCTCGGTAAGAGCAAGTGGTGAAGTGATTAGAACGGGACCTAAAAACTGTCAGAGAATTTTTGGTCAAGAGTTATGAATGTTTTGTTGTGCTTTTCTGAGATGACTTAGAAACACATTCCCTTATGTCCTAAAAACAGACTGACTACCAAAACAATCTCATCTCTATTTAGAGGCCGTCTCACTGACGTCCTTGGCATCGCCAGGAGGCAGACTCACCAATGGCCATGGATCATGTCTGTGCGACTGACTGCGGCCAGCTATGAGGGAACACCCACTGGACTCTGCTTTTGTATAAAAGTCTGCAGATGACTATATATGATGCTCATTCTGACATGTTCCATGCATTATGTACCTATGTATGTAACCTGTCTTGAATGAGTTCTTGCAAGTAAAATGCTGGTTAAAAATCTTCTCCTGCTGTCATTAGCGAGATACATTTTCTCCAACATACTCTGTATAGTGTGGTTAGATGATGTGAATTAACACGCCACATTGAACTGACTTGAATTTTGTGTCTGCTCTATTATGAAATTAAAGTCAAAACTGAAAATAAAAACATGATAAAGGAAAGTCACTTGGTTTCATACCACATTAGTCTCTTGTTTGTCTTTATAAAGCAGCAGCTCATCTGATGTCGGTACAGTCCACATCGAAGCCCACGTTTTCCTCTGCTTTTTACCGTTTTCTGAGATTTTAGCCACATTCAGATGTTCACTTTTCAGGTCCACCTGCAAACAAACGCAGCATTAGTGACATTTGAAATCTATACCAAATCATGTTTGTCAAAACTCCAGATTGAACAAATTTCATGTTTTTATACCCCACCCCCTAAGTTTATGGACCCTCCGTGTCTGTTGGTGAACAGACTGAAAGATGGGTTAATGAATGAAAATGAACATTTGGATGGATGGATGGATGGATGGATGGATGGATGGATGGCTGGATGGATGGATGGATGGATGGATGGATGGATGGATGGATG